GAAGCTCTTGACCTGTATTTGCATGGTTTTATGCATGGTGCTGCAGCCACATGATTGGCTGCATGAATGTGCAGTTGTACAGGTGTTCCTAATAAAGTGGACGGTGAGTATGTATACATATGTTCTAAAAAAAAATAGTTGTGTAACAGGATGTCGACCACATGTTTCCTGTTGCTTCAACAGGTCCTCCTTTTCAAAGTCAGCCATTCAATTAGGACAAAAGTAATGGCGCCCTACGAAAGGAGGAGGAGTTATTATGGTAGCTGAGGTGCTGCGGTTGCTTCACCATGTTACTGGAAGAGTTTGTGCTCTTTCACTGTTTGGTCTTCATTTTATCTTTTTTTTTTTTTTCCATTCTTTTCTTTTTATGGAGTTTTATGGGTGTGGCTAAAAGTAACTCTTATTTCGCAGCTTTATCATGATCGCTCTTGGCGGTTACAGACAGGTCAGTGTGGCGGAAAACATTCTCACGCAACTTTACTGAGATAAAAGAGGCCTGATTAAAGGGGATGAAAACTTTTGCACTCGACTGCATGTAATGTTAATGTTCCACGCGTAGTACGTCCTAACGATGGGTCTCGGCTGCACCCGAGCTAGCGTTTCACCAAAAAGCATTCACGCTACTAATGACTGAGTCGTAGCTCGTTTGAAGGGCTGGGTGATGTGACTTCAGAATAAATGGCATCCAGTTATATCGAAAAGGTTTTGTAGTCGCCGTCAACACTGAAATGTGACGTCATCGAATACCGAGAAACGTGAAAATGATGATCCAAAACGATTAGACTGTTTTTAAAAATGAAAAATATCCACACACACACACAAAAAAAGGATATTTACATAATAATATTGTTCTGTGCTCGTCAATAAAACTAGTTTTGTCAGGAGGTCAGTGCAGTCTGCGTATCATTTTCAACAATATTTCTCTGTCAAATACATTTACAGCATTTCCGAATAAAAGTAAAAATACGAACAGGAACGGAAGCCCATTTCCCGTCGCTTACGCGGACTCAGAGACGAAGCGTCCTCCAGTGTTGGCGAAAATAAGCAGCGGGCGTGAGGATCGTCCACAGCAGCGCGACAGTCGGATTGTTGTTCCTTTACTGTTCCATTCGAACCAGGCCGCAGCCTGCTGGTGTGTGTTTGAGGCTCACCTCCTCACTGCTCTGCGTCTGATCTCCGTGTCTCCGAGGGTTATATCTTTGGCTCGAGCTGATCTGAGATCAGACAGTCTTGAACCGGACGGGGGAATCCGTCTGGGTCTCACGGTTGTCCTGCGTCGTCCTGTAGCCCTTCTGCTTCAGCGCCGTCATCGCCTCTCTGCAGCTGCTGGTATTTACGCTTAAAGAAGCCCAGCTGAAGAGATCGCACCACAAACATTTAGAGATAAAAAAAAAAATCTCATTTACACAATCTTTAAACGTATCGATCGGCTGAGACGTGTTAAGGTCGCGATTTTGGTTTTATTCTGTTTTCTTCTTGAAAAAAAGCTGAACTCGTACCTTCCACAGCACTGCGACAGCAACAGCCAGCAGGAGTAATCCTCCAATCACACTGCCCACGATCACCCCGACAGGTACATCGCCTTTGGCACCTGGTTTACTCACCGTGACGTCGACCTGATGAGGACGAACAAAAAAGGCCGTGAACTCTGAGGCTGTCTTTACACTCAGCACAAATCCTCGTTCATAACCAAGTGTTAACCGGGAAGTTTCCGACTTCCCAGTAGGAAAGATCTGCTCGAAAGACAAAGATCCGTTCGAACAAGAGCTCTGACGTCTCCCGGTTCTGACTGTGTGATGTGAAACGTGCGAACAAGCTTTGTCGTTTGTACCGAAATGTTTCAGTAGCGGAGATTTCAGTACATCCCCGATAAATATATTTATTTAACTGATGTCAGCTATATACTTCGCTAAATCGAACATAAAGTGTTCTGTACCGTCACTTGTTTGTGGGCGAGAACGAGTAGAGCAGACTGAGACGTCTCGATCTGAGCGTGCACGTCTACTACGACCGACTGGAAATCAGCCTAGAAAGAAGAAGAAAATGAGCGAAACATTTATACCGTGGTTTCACAGCACAAAAATATTCTTCTTCTATTTTATTCTAAGGCTTGAAGGACTGGGTTGCCAAATTGGTTAATTGTCTGTCTGAATGTGGCTTCATTAATGTGGAAAAATCTCTTATAGGTCTTTTGGCACAAGCTACAAGATATTTCCCAATCGGTTTATATTTACAAACCAAACCATAATAATAATAATAATAATAATAATCAGAAACTATATAAAGAAGTTCTGAAATAATTACTAAAGCAACCAGTTAAGAATTTTATTTATATCATAGTTATTATTATTATTATAATTATTTATATATATATAAAAAAAACTGTTTTTGAAAAAAGTATTAATATGCTTGTGTGTCGTTTTATCTCTAATTTTTCTCAGGTTTTTACGTCACTGCACCTAATCAGCGCTCTCCCCCAGTTTAAACGAGTAAACTGAGTAATAATTTCCTGAATTTCCCCTTGGGGATCAATAAAGTATCTATCTATCTATCTATCTAACGCTGAAAACAGACAATCCAATCTGGCAACCCTGCTGTCGTGAAGACAGGACCGCAGCTGGTCAGCGAACCTCGGCGAACGTTCCGTTCCAGATCCTCGCGGAGACGCTGATATAGTAATCACTCTTCACGCTCAGGTCTTTCAGCACACACTTCAGCTGCTTACACACGGCCGAGTCGCAGTTCTGTGGGAGAGAGCATCGACGCTGTGGGGTTAATACATTTCGACATTTCAGACACAAGATGTTTCAAGTGGACTGGACAGGAGTGTAATATTTGTGTGCGTGTGTTGTATAGTAAATGCTTTTACAGAATAGAATCGTTGCCTTTATTAAAAATGTATTTAATCTGAGATTAACCAAGAAAGAATATAGTGTCAATAAAAAAAAAAAAAAAAACATTTGGAGATCCAGTGCAGATTCTGTGCATTCGGATCATGTTATAGCATACATAAAAAGAGATTTCTCTCTCACACACACACACACACTGACCAGGTGACTGGTTCCTCGGAAGTTCTCTCCTTGGTGAACGTGGCTGTGTATTCTTTGTCTCTGATCTTAAACGGGTCGATCAGCCCTTGGGTCTCACACTGAACATCACTCTGCTGAGAGCCACAAACACACACCTTCAGATCATCACTTCATAAGTGTAACGATGTTCATGTGTAAGCAGTTGGATCAGTCTTATACCATGCTCTTTTACTCATAAAACCCCTTACGATACTGGCATCCGATACCAGGATGTTCACGATTAATGATCGAAGCAAACTGCAAACATCAGGACGATGTATTCGTGAGTGTGACCGGTCGATTACATTTGTAATAATGAAATTGTGTGTGAGGTGTTTCCAGTCGAAATATTCACGCCCAGGTTGAATCGCAGCCGCCAGTAACGCGTTATTGACACGCAAGGACTGCTGGGAAATGTTCCATTATTTTTACGTCCATAAAAATCCACGACCTTGACGGAAACGTTCTTCAAGTCGTTTGGGTTCTCACCGGTGTGCTCTCGACTGAGGTTACATACAGCAGAGGATTCCCTGATTTAGTACTGACGGGCAGCGAGACGTTGAGGTAAACCAGACTGACTGGAAACACTGCTCCGGACACCTACGGCGGAGAAAAATACACCACTTCACATCATTGTGCTTGTAGAGACTGGTCTGGTGGATGCGCGACATAATCTAATCTGCTTCCTGTAAAGGTGACGTTTATGTCCCATTTATGGAAGGGAAAATATTGCTATTCGAAATAACTAACTAACTAAATCAATAAAATAAGAAAGGCACTGACCTTGAGATTGAACTTCAGCTCCGGGCCGATGTCGGCGTACGTTTTTATCGGATTTGTAACTTCATCCTTTTCGTCAAGCAAGTAAACATTCATGTTGGCTTCTCTGTTAAAGAATACGGAATAAAAAATACATTCAGCCACGTTTCCCGGTTTTTCCGGGTTGTGTATAATTTTGTCTGAAAGAGGAAGAAGATCTGGAGTTTTCTATTTTGCCGCTGATGTTTAGCAGTCGCCTCGGTGTGTTTACAATCAGACCTGCTGAGGATGATCTCTGTCCTGTACTGGATGGGGATCGCCACCGTCTCGCTGTTATCCGCTGGAGTTTCCTCTCTACTGTCACTGCGAAACAACATGAACGACATCATCATCATCATCATCGCCACCATCGTCGTCGTCGTCGTTAGCGACGGAGATCATCTCGGGCACCGTGTTACGGTCTGGACAACAAGTTTAATTTCTTACCTCAGGGCTTCGAAGGCCACTTTGACTTCCTTTTGTAATCGTGCCAAATTAAAGTCAAAATTGATCTCGAATGTCACCTGAAACAAAGAGACGCAACACTCATCGTTATTATTATTATTATTATTATTGCTCAACAACAACAATCACCACCACACCCGTCAGAGCAACCGCAACAACCAGAAACAACCATAAAAGTGATAACAACCACAACCATCACAACTCATCCACATCCACCACAATACCCACAACAACAACAACCAAAACAGCCACACACAAAAAAAACGTATTCACATTATTAACACACGCTCAGTCACCATGAAGACCATTTAGTATGTAGTATGACGGTTTTTTTTTGGTTCGTGTTACCTTTTTTCAAACTTTGTATGAATTTAAATGAACCCTGTCTTCAACAAGAGCAAACTATTTTGCGTTTTAAACTTTTAACTGGCTTTTTTTTTTCCAAACCAACATGAAGTTTGTTCTCAAACGTTCCTTTTTTAGTGAAGTGCATTAGCTAGCCTCACGAGTTACATTGGCTCGAGTACACGTAAACGAATACACATTAAATGGAATATTAGACCGTATTTGGACCAAAAATTTTTTTTTTGAACCATGAAGCTGTTTCCCATGTGTTTCAGTGCCACAATTTGAGACGAAGAATACAAAAATAATATTCTGTAGGTGTAAGATCCTGTAGCTCAGCTGGAAGAGCTTTGACTCAGGCTTTGATGTGCATTGGTTCAAACCCCAGCTAGATCGGAAGGGTATGAGTGCTGAAGGTCTGAGTTGTAAGGTGCAGTGATGGTGGAATGGAGAATTCAGTGGAGTCCTGGTCAACGTCCCCACAGCCTGGTGCTGGTAAGTGTATGAAGTCTGACTGCAAAGTGTTGTGGTCCTGTATATGCTAGAATTTCTTTAAAATGCATTTAATTGCTCTGGCTTCTAAAGTCTACTCATCCAACAGAATATAGTTTACCCAGGATGGTTTCCTCCTGGAATCTAGCGTAACGGTGACTCGTTTAGATCTAGCAAAGTAATATAAACCAAAGTTTAGGATTTGACCAGGAAGTAAAGTGGGAAAGATAATAACCGAGTGCTACTGATGGCTAAGACGCGTTAGCTAATTACATGCTGAGTGATCAAATCAGCTACTTACGTCTAGACCAAACAAAGCTTCTTTGTTAAGCCCTATGTGCATTATACTGCATAAGCACCACCTGCGTCCATTGGTGGTACAACAGTTAGTGTTGTGGTTTCAGCAGTTGGAGGGTGTTGGGTCAAACCGTGGACATGGTTTTCTGGATATAAATGAATACTGTCTATAAAACGATTATTTCTACTAATTACCCAAAGACCTATAAAATATCTGCCTCCTTAATCTTGGATTTGGAAAATTACAACAAAAAAAATGTGAGAAGACAAACATGTGTGGAAAGTAAACCATTCTAAACGTTTCCCAGAAAACACACAGGGTCAGCACAGCACAGGAAACGGTCCAGCTGTGTGTCGGGGTGTGTTGGTTAGTCAACCAGGAACTGTATGATCTTTCAACCTCAACCGTCTCCTCTTCCACTAAAGGCTTCACTGTTAATTCTCTTCAGCTCGCACTGTTGAACCATTTATTCAGCCAAAGGTCCAATAAGCACTCACACCACTACTGGTCCTGGTGCTTGATGTCCTGGGTTCAAATGCAGGTTTTTGCTTAATTGTTAGGTGAGGATTAAGTGTACAGAACTGAAAAGTATTTGTAAATAAATCTGTTTGTATGATAGCCTTTTTCTCAACTAGATGAGATTTGCATCTGGATTCAGAGGTTGTTTGTTCAAACCCAAGCCAGGTCCTCCAGGAGATGATGTGGAGTTGGAGGAAGTGATGAGCTGAAAGTGCTGGAGGGCCTGACCTGACCTGACCTGAGATGAGGGGGGGTAATATCCAGGCATCTGCACCCCCCCAGAGTCTGGGCAGATGAACAAAGGGGGTTATGGAACAGGAAGAGAGAGTACTGACTTAGATTTGCATCTATAGAGGAAACAGTGACGGCCTCAAATAAAGTGTGGGTTATAGTTTTTCCAAACACCAGTTTTCTCAGACGCTCTTTCACCACCTCATCTGCTCTCACATATTACTCAGCATACCAAGTGCAAGCACAAGCTGGAATCAAACCAACAGCCTTTGAGTTCAGGGACAAGGTCTTTACCACACAGACACCAAGCCACACATGAAACCAACGGTGTTGTTGGACCTTCGTGTTTTAATTAAGTGATTAAGTCGGCTGTCACCAGCATAGTGGACGACCCCTCCCAGACCTTTCGTGGACTCTTCACTGGTGCATCCATGCTACCACCACCAGCTTCATCCCTGAGGATCTACTGGTACTTGTTCACTTACGTATCCCCGTTCCACGTATTTATTTCGCACTCGTCTTTTGCATAGTTCTGTGTACTGTGGAACTGTATTATGTGTTGCCCCATGGTCCTGGGAAAGGACTGTTTATGAAAAACAATGTTTACTACATATATAGAGTAACGGCAAGAAAAAACCCACTTAACTTAGTTCACGGCCCTGAGTGTAATGCTCTATGTTGCCCCCTAGTGGAATTCCGAAGACTAGCTATTTTTCTGAATCTTTAAATGAATAATAAGAATAATAGAAGCACTATTACAAACAATAATAATAACCTTCACACACGCACCAAGAAATATTGACTTGTACATCTATTTTTCAATGTTTTACTTTCTTTCTGCTCCTTCAGACTCTTCTACTTGTATTCGTGTCTTTTTATAACTTGGGAGAAGTGTAAATAAGAACCTGTCTCCTAAATGCCTCATATAGATGTCATCATTATTTACACGTGTGTGTTTAGTGAGTCAGGGAGTCTCACCGACTGGTCAGTCCTGAGCGCTGGATATCCAACTTGACACGTGACGATTTCGGTGTCTTTACCGGAGGTGCATATGACCTCGGTATCATCGCTCTGGGGGGAAAAAATACAGCAGAAAATTATGCTTAGGAAATGAAGTCCGGCAGGAATTATTATGGTCTGGTGACAGCGTGAGGTTAGCTCCGATTAATCCTACACTAAAATACTTGTGTTGAAACGTGTCAGACGTACAGGCGGCGTAACGGAGCTGTAGAACAGGTTGCCGGAGTAGCGTGCTATCACTCTGGTGTTGTAGGCATTCTCCTTCCTGTTCATCACCGTCACGGACAGTGTCAGTCTACTGTTCTTACTCACCAGCAACGAGGAGCTACAAAGGGACATAAATGAGAATTTATTAACCAGAAGTTCCATAACAAAAGATTTAACAGACAAAGCGTGACAGTGTGAAGCCCTGCAGCCAGACTTTAAAGTCGGTCACACAACTCCATTATTCTCAAGTTCTCACATCACATTGGTGTATCCGAATAAAAGTCTGCTTGATCTTAGATTCAACTGCAAAATTACTGGCACCAACAAAAGGAAAGGACATAAAAAACGAAGAGGGCTGCAAAAAACATCTTGGGATCTGTCAAGGTTCTATGTATGCTAAAATTATTATTATTTCTTTTATACAGCGAATTTTTATACAGTGAGTGTTAGAAAGGCTGAGTGCCAAACATTTTACAACCAGCGTAGCAGAAATATTACATGACTGCGTTAAACATTACACATGATCCAACACCTCAAACTATCACTTCTTATCACATTATTAGGGGCCAAGTACCAAAGGTATGTAGGCACCCTCTTCTTAGTGTATGTTTTCATCTTCTTCTTCTGGATAGGGTGTCTATGGCATCCCACAGAACCGTGTGGTAAAAAGTTTTAAATTTGGCACACTGATTGGGGAGGGTCTAAGGAACATTCTGACCAAATTTGGGCCAAACAGCACCATCGGGTCAGATTTGGGCCAAACAGCACCATCGGGTCAGATTTGGGCCAAACAGCACCATTGGGTCAGATTTGGAAGTACGTCTATGGTCATAACTTGTGAACCATAGACGTTATGACTATAGAAGACATTTAGATTTCCAGAATTTAAAAGTCAGACATCCTGGATTCCTTGGGTCGAGATGAGTTCAACGCACCCCATCACATCAATTTCCACCTAATTAGATACAGTTTTTTCGCTACTCCTCCTATAAATTTCGTCCAATCGTCATAAGTTTTTTGAGGCTTACTCTGAAGATGGTGTGTGGCAAATTTTATCAGAAGAATGTTTTAATAGTCCAAACAGTTTTCCTGTAACTGGCCAACGAATCTGAAGGCAAAGCCGCCAAACAGGATGTGAAGTTGTATCTCAACAACGACTTCATGCACCGACACAAATTTTGGTACGCACCTACAGAACCATGAACTGAGGCTATGCAAGAAATTTTGTGACAGTGCCATTTACTGGTCAAAAGTTACAATGCCTTTTTTTGCTACTCTTCCTCAAATTTTGTCCAATCCTCACCTCACATCATCTTGAAACTCATCTAAACAAAAGTTATCAAAAGGAACTCTGATATTCAAAACCTTTCTCCCTTAACAGACTGGCAAATGCGTGAAACTACAAATCATTCTTGAATCCCGTTGCATATAGTTATGTGCGGCTGACCGAGTCTTGGTGCTTGGCCCCCGAAAATTCTGCTTGCAGCTTTCATTTGTATTGTTTTTGTCGGTTTTCACGAAGGGTGCCAATAATTCTGGAGCTGGGTGTAGCTGATATATTCACACATGGGTTTACTTAAAAACTTGTTTAACGATGGGACAGACATGGCTATTGGGAACAAAGACACGGTTTTGGTCTGCACCACGGAGACGGAAACAAACAAACCATTTGCAAAAGCGCTTAAAACGCGTCTGGGATTTTACAGGCAGTTTGTCGGTGTCAGTAAATGAAGTTAACAAAAAAAAAGCAAGAAATGAAAAATAAAAAGAATACAACACTTCCAGAGACCAATGCAGAACAGGACATGAAGGGCTGAGTGAAGTCACAGACTGAAGCGCAGAGCCGAGAGAGTTTTAGGCTCGTTACACCGTATGACCTTTGACCTTTCGGGCTAGGATTACACTCAGAGAGAAGCAGATAATCATTTCACACTGGTGCTAGAACCAGCACTGATACAGGGAACCGCTACACCTTTTAAAGAACGGACCCGCGCTTCTATCAGTTTAAGAGTTAATCATTCTGTAATAAGATGCTGGCGTTTATACGCGCGTGGTGTAAAATCAGTAACAGCTGTGGGGGATTTTGGAGAATTTGAAACCCTTTAGAATAAGCAATGCACACAAACATTCACAATCAGAATTATTCACCCCCCCCACACACCCCCAGTGCAAATCAGGTTTATTGTCAAAAATGGACAGACTTCCAGCTGTTTGTGATGAACAAAGCAAACAAAAGCGATTGAAATATTTCGACACGACGGATGCTTCAAGCGGTTTCCCCAGTTTCAAAATTATTGACCCCTCTGAATAGAATCCCTCACAACAGAACAAATACGCAGAACAGGTGTTGTCTCAAGCACACCTGATACTGAAATGATCAAGGGTTGCACCATGAGCTGCACCAGGTGTGTTTGAGCCGGAACACATGAAATACCTGAACCGGCAATGGGGGTTGAATAATTTTGATCGCAGCTGAATTAAAATGACATTTAGCGACTTATTATTATTATTATTATTATAGTTTTATTACTATATTTGCTGGTGGAATGATTCTTTCTTGAATTACTTCAACATTGCATCAAGTCTTATTTCAATGGCGGTCGAATTGATCGAGTTGTTGTCGTGGCAA